GTACTTAACTGCCAGCAGACCTGATATTGCCTTTGCAGTTGGAGTTTGTGCTAGATATCAAGCTGATCCCAAAGTCAGTCATATCAATCAAGTGAAGAGAATTTTGAAGTATGTAAGTGGTACTTACAACTATGGATTGATGTATACTCATGGCTGTGAACCAGCTCTGACTGGCTACTGTGATGCTGATTGGGCTGGTAGTGCTGATGATAGAAAAAGCACCTCTGGAGGATGTTTCTTTTTGGGAAGTAATCTGGTTTCCTGGTTCAGCAAGAAACAGAATTGTGTGTCTCTTTCAACTGCTGAAGCTGAATACATTGCAGCTGGTAGTAGCTGCTCTCAAATGATATGGATGAAACAGATGCTCACTGAGTATAATGTCACACAAGATGTTATGACATTGTACTGTGACAATCTGAGTACAATCAACATATCCAAGAATCCCATTCAGCATAGCAGGACCAAACATATTGACATACGACATCACTTTATCAGAGACCTTGTAGAAGAGAAGACAATCAAATTGGAACATGTTGCCACTGAGCTACAGCTGGCTGACATTTTTACCAAGGCTTTGGATGCAAACCAATTTGAAAACTTAAGGGGTAAGCTGGGTATTTGCCAACATGAGGAATTGTAGCAATTAATTTTGCTTAAAACAAGGATCAAAGGACTTATGCCTGTTCTGATTGGTTTAAAATTGTATTTTCTCATTTCCTACAATTCTTTTAAGAAGTTGAATAGACACTCCCTTGCTTCCTTCCTCTCTCGTCTACTCATCAAAACCCAGTCTCTCAATCAGAAATTTCTCCTCAGTTGCTGTTGGTCCTCTAAAACTATCAACATGTCTCAAACACCATCATCATCCAATACGACCATTTCAACCTCTTCTTGTCTGGACTCTGACGTTCTGGAGATCTCCTCTCATAGAAAAGTGAGAACTAACCCCACCAAGGTCAAAGAGTTGAGAACAAGACATGCAGGAAAACCCCAAGCTTCTGCCTCTGGTAATCCATCTCATCCTTCTTCTTCAGTTCCCCCTGAAATTGCAAATAAGGAAGGGACAGCCTATGTTAATCAAGCAATAGCAAAAATTGTTTCAAGAATTCTAAACGAGAACCACTCAGTTCCTGGCATTTCTGTTCCTCTGAACCAAGAAAGCTCAAATGCTGAAACAAATCCAGATGTCTCTAAGAATGTTGAGACATCAAACAAAGAGAAGAATGCCAACATTGCTCACAAGAAAAGAAAGAAGCCTGAATACTCTGGATCTGATGACAGTGCTTGAAGGTTGGTTGCTGATATCTGGTGGAGTTTGGAAGTGTATTCAGTTGTTCTCTGCTGCTTCTCTTATTATTTTGCTTTGGATAACTGTATAAATTTTATGAACATGTATCTTTGGCCCATTTGTGGCTAAAGAGGGGGAGAATATTTTGGTACTTACTTAATTAGTACTCGACATTCTATTTTTCTGCTGTCACTTATTTCTGCTGCTATCTATCTCTGATTGTTTAGGGTCTTTAGCCAAAAATCTGCCAAAGGGGGAGTTTGTAGGTGTTTAGGTATTGGCTTGCATTTTTGGTAAATCCCAAGTATATGTGTGAATGTCATGACTGATGTCATAACATTCTAGTTCAGTTTGTACTGACTCATTAGGTACCTTTGCAGAAAAATATTGTAATTCAAATACTGATGTTTATAAGTGTGTATCTGAGCATTTTGCAAAATGATCACATTTTGCTAAATCAGTAGACAGGTTTTCTCAGATGTCATAACAAATGTTATGACATCCTGTTCTGAACTAACAGGATTGCAGGATTGGATAAGTCTGAGTTTTTTCAGGAAATAACTCAGTCCTTCCTGAACAGAATCCTGCGTTTTCTGAGGGGTAACCTAGCTCAACCCTAACCTGGTCAAATAAAGTCCTGTGACCTGGTCGTTAGGTCAAACGGAATTATCCCTAGGTTTTTGGAAACCCTAACTGAAGTTGCAGCTGCTATATATTCAACAGAGCTGCTGTTTTTCAAGTATCCCTTTTTGATTGATCAGAAGATCATTTGTAATCTGTATAGATTTGATTATTGTACTCCAAGAAATTATCATTGTGATAAGTGCCTTGGAATAGGTTTCTAATTGTAAGGGTTGTGTAGCACTCAAAGCTTTGAAGCAAGAGTGTTTGAATGTTCCTTGACTAAAGCTGTGAAGCAGAGTCAAGTTAGTTGTGTGCATCACTCAAAGCTGTGAAGCACGAGTGATTGTGTTGCTTGATTAAAAAGCTGTGAAGCTTAATCAAGTGTTTGTTTTTGAAGAGTGTCTTCATCGATTCTTAAGTCAAATTGGTTTATGTATCACTGCTGTGATTGAGGGGGAGTGAGTAGGAACTCAGGTTTAAGTTGTACTTAGATTGGAATTGCATTGGGTAGGTCTTAAGTGAAGGAGATAAACTGGTTGGTTTATTCCTGAATTAACATCTCTTATAGTGGATTTCCTCCCTGGCTTGGTAGCCCCCAGAGTAGGTGTTGTTGCACACTGAACTGGGTAAACAATTGACTGTGTTCTTTATTGCTTTTATATTTACTGTCATATAGTAAGTCAGATACGGTGTCATAACATTGAACGTGACATTGAGTATCTGCAGCCAGAATTTCAGCAAGGTTGTGAATTTTTAGGATCAAGATCTTATTGACTATTCAAATTATTTGTCATTCAAGTTGATTTGGGTTCAAGATTGAAGTTAGGAGTTCGTTGAGAATGCAAGTGTGATTTGGATTTGAAGTTTGATTTGAGTTCAAGATGTTCGAAAGTGTTTGATTGGATTAAAGTCGGAAAAGAGTCTTAAGTATTGTTCATATGGCTTTCTTGGAAGGTAAAGTGCAGACTGCGAGGTTTTGTTTCAAGTCAGAGTTCATACGCATTACAAAGATGTTCACCGTTATTTCAGATTCAAGTTCACAATGCGTTCAAACATTTATTCAAGAAAATACTATCCAATTCCGTTCAATTTCATTCTCATTCATGGCTCAAGAAAATACTATCCAATTCCGTTCAATTTCATTCTCATTCATGGCTCAAGAAAATACTATCCAATTCCATTCAATTTCATTCAATTGTAACAACACCCCACAAGAAAATTTGATGCTTTCATATCTTCAAGCATTTTTTTTGTCATTTAAACTCCATCCAAAAAAAATCCATCACCCGACATTTCAAGCTCAAAGTCATTAATAATTCACACTATAAATTTCAAGTTCATCCAAATCAAACATTCATTATAAAATCATTACAATCCCATTACACCAATATTTTACAAAAAAAAACTATTACAAAATACACTTGAACAAAATTCTTTAGTCCTAAAGGTGCTCAAATTCCCTAATAAGCTTCTAATTCCATGCCATGCCAAAGTTCTTCATCTTCAGTTCATGAGCTGCACATTCATACAAAAAAAAAATTACAAAACTAATATACAATCAAATATGGTTGTTAAATCTTTTGAAAAATGAATTTACCCAGGGAAAGGATCTTCTTAAACCAGCCGGCACCCAGTGTGCTTCTAGCTTTGCTACATTGCAGAGTTTGTTGGATCATCGAGTTAGTCTCAGACGAATGTTTCTTTCAAACAAATGGATGTCATCCAGGTTTTCCAGCTCAAGTGAGGGGAAAGAGGTACAAAGAATTGTTCTGAATGTTACATTTTGGAAGAAAATGCAGTATGTGAGGAAATCAGTGGAGCCCATTTTGCAATTGATTTAAAAGGTGTCTAGTGGCGAGAGCTTGTCAATGTCATTTTTATATAACGACTTGTACAGGGCAAGACTTGCAATCAAATTTGGACATGGCAATGATGCACGTAAATATGAACCATTCTGGAAGGTGATAGATAGGCATTGTAACTCTCTGTTCTGTCATCCTCTTTACTTGGCTGCTTACTTTTTGAATCCATCATACCGATACCGTTAGGATTTTGTTGCGCATTCTAAAGTAGTACGAGGGCTGAATGAATGCATTGTTCGGCTAGATCTCGATAGTATGAGACGAATATCTGCATCAATGCAAATTGCTCATTATAATTCTGCACAAGATGATTTTGGAACTGAATTGGCAATTAGCACAAGAACAGATCTTGAACCAGCTGCTTGGTGGCAACAACATGGTAACGCCAACTAACATTTTCGTTCAACTACTAACTTCTTCACATAGCATATTACCTCTTAATAACAAAATTGCCTTCAACAAATTTAGCTAAATCCATTAACCTCCTTTCACAATAGAATTTCTAACTAATTTGCTACTAAACTGTCATATTCCCTAACTGTCCAGCAGAAAAATAACTAAACAGTATCCTAGCTACTCTTCATTCCAAAACTAACACATAAAGATTTTCCAGCTCATCTCTTAACTACCGTAACACAACTTCCTCTAACAGCCTAACTCCTCTAACTCCAACCAATTCCAAACAGGACTTCTAACTTATAACTAACACAATTTCAACCAACCTTTCTAATTCACAGATTCCTAACCGTTTCTTAACCAACTTCCAAAGTAGAATTTCTAAACAACAAATTTCCAGCTTTCTTACAACCTATTCCCCAACTAAATTCCCTAACAGAATTTTCTAACCATAACTTCCTATCCAAAACCATATCTCAATTAACCAACTTAACTAACCACTTATAACTGTATAACTAACTGCTTTCTAACAGATTTTTGATAGCTGTATAACAGGGGGAGATTCATTTTTTTAACATATACATAATAGATTTAACTATAGAAACTTACCAATTCACATTGATTCTTAAAATCTCTGCAGAAGAATCACCAAGAAACTCCTCCTCTGATCCTCATCTTCATCATTCTTCAACACTCCTTGGAGAATCATCAAAAAGAGATCTGAAAATTCTCTCTCTCTCTCTCTCTCCCAACAATTGACACACTCTCTCTATACTTTTCTTCTGCAATTCCAAATCGCGTGAGTTCATATCAGATCTGAAACCCTAACAATGGAGAAATCATGCAGTCTAGTAGTGCATTTCGACAAAAGCACACCGGCACTAGCCACCGAGATCAAAGAAGATCTTGAAGGAAACGACGTCGCATCAAAGATCAAAGCACTCAAGAAAGCAATCATGCTTCTCCTCAACGGCGAAACCATTCCTCAGCTCTTCATCACCGTCATTCGTCACGTTCTCACTTGCGACGATCACACCGTTCAGAAACTTCTCCTTCTGTATCTCGAAATCACCGACAAAACCGATTCGCGCGGTAAGGTTCTCCCCGAGATGATCCTTATCTGTCATAATCTCCGTAACAATCTTCAATCGCCTAATGAATTCATTCACGGTGTTACTCTTCGGTTTCTTTGCCGGATTAATGAATCCGAGATCGTTGAACCGTTGATCCCTTCGATTTTGTCGAATCTCGAGCATCGGCATCCTTTTGTTAGGAGGAATGTTGTTCTTGCTGTTATGTCTGTTTATAAGCTTCCTCAGGGGGAGCAGTTGCTTGACAGTGCGCCGGAGATCGTTGAGAAGTTTCTCGCATCTGAACAGGATCCGCCGAGTAAGCGTAATGCTTTTCTTATGCTGTTTTCTTGTTCTTAGGATCGTGCTGTCAATTATCTTTTTTCAAATATAGATAGGATTATTGATTGGGGTGAACAACTTCAGATGATTGTTTTGGAATTGATTAAGAAAGTTTGTAGGAATAATAAGGGTGAGAAGGAGCTACCGCGCCGTTTGAAAGAAGAAAAGAAGGAGAAACTTCTGTTTCTCGGAGGGAGTCGAAGGGTCACCCCTAACCCTAGTCCACACCAAAAGGAAACCGTTTAACTCTTTTCATTTATTATTTTTTATATTTCCTTTTTTTCCAAATATTAATAAAATCATAATAAAAAGTAACTGGGAAGGTAAATTTTGATGGTGAGTGTGTTGATGTTTGGGCGTGATCCTTATGAAGCACCTGGGCCTTATTACGATCTATACCCTTCCTGAGCCCATTACCACATGCTTTTTGGACACATCAATTGCCTTTCTTCCAAAAAACAGCTTTGGACATCTCTGGACTGGGCCTGTGCGCCACTTCTAATGGCAGGCCTAACATTCTGCTATAATACACCATTGGATTCAGCTTGCACCTCCTCGGGCCTCTTTCTTTTTCTTATTTTTTTTAGTTTATTTTGAACAATTTTAAATTTGTTTGAACCTTTTTTTTACATGATAAAAATGATATACAAAAATAGTAGCATATTTTAGGATTCTTTAGGACTTTGCTTTAGAATTTTACTAGAACTTTCTATTATTTTGTGTTTAACAATTATTTTCATTGTCATTTTTTTTTAGCTAAGATTTTATGATAGGATATTAATGCAATTTTTGCGATGAGGAATGTTGGGAGATCAATTCTTTGATCACCCGCGTGGAGCAGATTTTGTTAAAGTTTTCTTATTGCTTGAACGGTTTCAAAAAGGCAACGGACCTTCTCCGTTCGGTATCACCGTGGCCTTATTTTATCCCTCATTTCGCACTTTATTGCATTTTTTTATCGCAAACCATATGCATGCTAACATTAGGTAGATGTTTCCCTTTCATTCATCCTTGACTTAAGTCTAACAACGCATGATAAAATTAGGTTTAGAAGTAAGCTAGTCTTCATGTGACTTTCTTTCCCCCTTTACATATGTATTTAAAACAAAAACTTCTCCTTTTTTACAAACTTCAAAAGCACATAAAAATTTACTGACGAGAATCATATCTTCGTTAAGTATGTGAGATGATAAGCGAGTCTCTTCTCGACCTTATTGATCTCTTATTCTAAGCTTTGGTCTGGTTCAAGTCTCAAAGACTCATTTCATGAATAAGTAGAGACGTGGCTAAAATCTCTCCCTTGAGATCAACTAGCTATTCTCTACAAGCGAAAAACACCAACAAACATAAAAATCTTTTTTTGCCTTCGGGCCTTTCTTTCAAACCCTTTTCAAAAGAGCGTATTAATTCACTTCTGTGCTGACGCGTAAATCTCCAAAGGTCGAGTTGCGGCAGAAGGCGAAATTAATATCGTTCATACAAAAACAAACAAATTCAACCTTTTTTGTGCGTCCAGGCACATTTCTTTCCAAACTTTTCCAGAGAGCATGTTAATTCACTTCTGTGCTGACGCGTAAGTCTCCAACGGTCGAGTTGCGGCAGAAGGCGAAATTAATACTGTTCAGTAAAAAATACAAATAAACAAAAACATGTAAGCCGAACTACGGCTGCTCTGATTCCTTAAAAGGGATACGTAGGCATTGGGATAGGGCCCAAGCGAGCACAATTTTATTTTCCCTACATTCTTTTCTCCTTTATTTTGCATGCATTCCTCCAGTAGTATAGTAAACAGTAAGCATAGATTAAACACACCCATAAGATAGACAACAAGAGTGGATACCGTAGAGTACTACGGGCGTGTGGGGTGCTAATACCTTCCCCTCGCGTAACAGACTCCCTTACCCGATCTCTCGGTCGCAAGACCGTGACTTCTCCCTCATCAGGTTTTCTCGACGTTTACCTTTCCCTACATGTGGGATAAAAGACGTTCGATGGCGACTTCATTGTTTGATGATTTTCAGCCGGTTGTTTCACACACATCCAATTTGATGATTTTCCAATAAGTGTGATAGAAGAAGCCCCCATATCCGTCTGGACCCGGAGCACTAGTTTTGTTGAGATTGAAAACAACCCTTTTAATTCATCAGTAGTTGGAATGGAAGTTAACAACTTGTTCATGTCCTCAATAACCAAATCCGAAATAAAGTCGTCCACAATATCCAAATCATGAGGCACATCTGCAAAACAAAAAAGATTAGTGAAATAATCAACCACATAACTAACAATGTCTACATAATCATTGATGATATATATAAAGGATAATGAATAATTTAATAATTCATTAATTACCCTACTTATTTGTTTAAAATATAAATGAAAAATGAAATTTTCAGTATTATATATTAAAAAGTACAACTATAGTACCAAAGCTAAATTAATGGAATTAATTTCAAAAATTTTAAATTCAGTGGACATATGAGATCTCTTAGGTATTATTGTCATATTAAATATGATATTAAATTGCAGTAACAAAATATGATAATCAAATGTACATCATCAAATGGAATCTACTATCTATCTTTTACTAAGAAATTGACTTACTCCCTAAATTACCTTTTTCTCTAAAAAAAAATTTACACTACAACTTAAACAAAATTGTAACTAACAAATTAACTCTACTACTTTTCTACTTTTCAATTAGTATATGACACTTGGCAACTCTAATCCTTCTTTATTTTAAAAATACATTTCTTTTCTAGAAACAAACACATACTAACAAATTTTTTCCCTACATGTCACATCTCAAAAACAAAACTCTTAAAATATTACATGTTGAAATAAATTTTCTAGAATGCCACAACTAGAGTGGTTTATGTCATTTGAAATGACGCGAGGATCCCACCCTTTATATAATCAGTAAGCTGGCGTCATTTCAAATAGCGTGAAGGTATTTTTTTTTTAAATTTATTTTTAAATTTTCTGATATATTTAATAATAATTTTTATTATTTAATTTTATTAATTAATTATAAATAGTTTAATAAAAAATTTAAACATATACTTAATTAATAAAATATTAATTAAAAATTTTAAATAATTATAAATAAACAATATTTATAAACAATATTTAATAATAATTTTTATTATTTAATTCTAATTATTTATTTATAATTATTTAAATTTTTTTATTAATATTTAATTAATTAATTATATATTTAAATTATTTATTAAACTATTTATAATTAATTAATAATATCAGAAAAATTAAAAAGAAATTTAAAAAAGAAATACCTTCACGTCATTTGAAATCATAGTAGCCTATTAGTTGTATAAAGAGTGAAATTCTCGCGCCATTTCAAATGACACAAACCCTTTGTCAAATTTATTTTAGCATGTGATATTTTGGGAGTTTTTAGTTTTCTCTATCGTATTCTCTAATTTTTTTCGTGAAATCTTAAAGTCACCGTCGCCCTTTCTCCCACTATTTACGACCACCAACATCTCCAATGAAAAAAATTAAAAATCAAAGACATATTTGCACTCTTCATCTCACGATCTTCCTAATGAGACATTTTTTTCATGAAACCCTAAAACCTCTGCCGCCCTTTCTGACTCAAGGTATGTTGGTCTGCGTTTGACTTCAATCAAGTTTCATCTTTTTCTATTGCCCCCTTGAAATATTGTTGGAACTTATTTATATATATGTTTTGAACTTATTCATGTTTTTGCAGGAGTAAATAATCTTAGATTTGTCTTTTGTAAGCTTGGAATTTCTTTAGATACATGGTGTACATAAAAGAGAGGTAGAACACATGTATGGTTTTCTTCAACTGATTTGTTAAATTGAGTTACAATAAAGTTCTTTGCTGCAACTGAATATATAAGCGGTATTTATTTTGCAATTTTTGATCTAGAGCATTTCCTCCCTCGTTAAGACAAAGACATCACGTTCCTCCTAAAGTATCTCCACCAGGTTCTTCTTCCAAGACACTGCCACACCCACCTCCTAATGAAGGTTAGCACTTTCTTTGCTTAGTATATTATTCTTTGTTCGAAGCATACATTATCTGCATTTTTTTGGAGTTAACTAGACTAAATTATCTGAAACAGTGTTTGCAATTTTAGGAGTGTTTTCCCCTTAATTTTATTTTTGCTGATGCATTTGTTTTTGTCAAGTGTTGTAATAGCTTCACAAAAATCCTTGGAGGAAGAATGAATATTTCTGCAGCAAATACAAGGAATATTTATATTTGCCCCATCATCTCTCTCCGGTTTTTCTTCATTAAAAACTCAGGCCCTCTTCATCATCACTCAAACAACAACAAACATTTTTACTTCAGATCTTAAAAACTAATCAAATATTATCTTAATAATTATAGGTTGTAATATTACAAATTGAATTAATTATTTCTCTTAATAGAATAATTATAAATCAAACTCATTTAAGCATAAATCACTACGCTAAATAAGCTATTTAATAGCGCTTTTTTTTTGTTTTTGATAGCGCTTAAAAGTGCTATTAACCGCGCCACTATTGTAAATATTTCTTATTTAATAGCACTTTAAAAGCGCTATTAAAGTATCAATTTATAATAGCATTTTAATTAAAGTGCTATCAAAGTCAGTATTTTGTATGTTTTTTGTTTGTTTTTTTATAGCACTCTAAACAAAAAGCGCTAATATATAACATATGTTTGATAGCGCTTTCAAATAAAGTGCTAATAAATGGTACATATTTGGTACAATATTTTTAATAAGTACAGTACAATATTTTTTCTTACACAATCATTTTTTTGGGTGTAAATATAAAATAACTATATTCAATTCAACACAAATAACGCTTTAAGTTACTCATTGCATATATATTATGATCCATCAAATACCAAATAACATTTTAAATTACCAAATCCTATTGTTTCCAAATATCATAACATATAGAATATTAAGAGGGCGTTTGCATAGCCAAATTTGTAGATGCCCATCTATGAGTACTTCAATCCAAATCCAAAAACATACAATCAAATTCTCTAAACAAAACACCAAAAAAATAAGAAAGGATAACAAAACAATCCCATGTAGTAACCACCTTCATGATCCAAAAGCGTTGAACTCATAGATACAATCACTAATTAGGCAAAATAATTGCTTCTTGTTTTCCTGTATCATAGAAGGAATATTGATTATGTATTGTACAATAAAAACTAATTCAACATATAAAGAATAATCAAACATTTAATATGGGTCTAACAAGAAGCGCATAAAATAAGGAATGATTATTATAAACTAATAACAATAAATCGATATAACTAATGCAATAATTGAACTAATTAAGTCTAACAAGAACATGACTTGTAAATATATAGACCACAATTTCCATTAGTAGATGCATATAAACACTAAACAGAATATAATTCAAATTCTCAAAATATACATAAACACTTAATTGTGTGTAACTTTCTTTTCATGATCCAGAACTAGATATCAAACACCTTACAATTGTTACTACGAATATCTAAAAATTTCAAGTAGAAACGGAAAACTGTAAATCAATCATACAATAAGATATAAGTCATTTTTCTGTATTTTCCTATTTCAAAATTTAAATTCGAGACCAAGAAAGAACACTCAGTACCTCTGTGCCATATCTTCTAAACCAATAAAATACTAAAATCATTTATACGACAACTCTAAATCCAACTCAAAAATTAAAATTAAACATCTAAGTCAAAACATACTCATATTATAAATCAATGAAAGTCACATACACCTGGGTCTTGATCTGGGGTTTGTTTGCTGCCGACATCAAATGGATTTGTTGACCTTGATGGCTCCGAAAAACTTGGTATGGGCTGTAACAGAGGGCGCACATTTATGAGAGAAATACTCATTTTTTGTACAAGTTACAGATTAAAAGCATCCATTTGGTTGACTCTTTATGAAGGAAATGTCCTTTTTAATATAAAAAAAAGGTCCTCTCTCTCTGATTATTAATCATAAGCTGTTTGGAGCATAAAAACTAAATGCATAGTAAGATAATCTGGTAAGCTAATCATTCTGGATTGTAACAGTACCGCCACATTATTATTATATTGCATTGAGATGCCCCTGCCCTGGGGAAGACCCGCCTGCCAACCTTGAACTGGAGCAGAGAAGGAAGAGTGTTTTGCAGTGAACAGATCCTGCATCAATCACAATTAATTGTTAGGCAAACAATAAACACATGCAAGTGTATACAAAAGGCAGAGGTTGTGAAGCAAACTAAGTCACAATTACTTCAGAAAGTTCTGTTCTTCCACTTGGTTTTACTTCTACAGCAGAAGTTTGAGAAAGAATACTGTTAAAAGCCTCATTGGCTGGCTTCGAAGCACGATGGTATGCATGAGGCATTGGTGAGTTGGGATATCCCTGTCCTGTGGGTACAGAAGGTACATGCGATGGCTGCAAGATATTTCCAGGATGGTGAAAATAATGCTACATCATAAATAAACAATCAACAGTATTTGACATGACAACTCCATTATCCAAACCTGACTATTTACAGCAGAGAACATTGGTTGCTGATGCTGCGAACTAGCCCACTTTCCTACATTATTATGAGGTAATACAACTTCCAGTCCGGAAGATGGCATCGAAGCATCATTGGATGGGAAAGATGATAAACTGCCAAAACTAAGAGCCCCTGCTGGAATAGGTCCTGCAGATATAAAAAAAATGAGTCATCACTTCTTGGTGATGTTATCACACTGCCATTACAACTTGTGTATCACCTTGGACTCCCGAAGCATGAGAAGATAAAGATGTCGAATAAGACAATTGGGACAGTACGGATTCAAGTGGATTTAAATTTGAGGTGTTTTGATTTTCTTTCTTCTCAGAAGCAATATCAAAAGAGGCCCAATTGTCATCACTGGAATTTCCTGGCTGCAAAACAGGTTGAGGCGCGCTAGTTTGTTGGGCTTGAGGAATTGTGGAAGCAATAGGATCAGCATCAAAATCAATAAGGTTCTTAGTAGTCTCAAGCTTAATATTTACTTGGCTTTCATTACTGGATACCAAGCTACCGGAGGATGCAGTTCTCTGAAATCATGGACAGACGGTTATTGTTGTATAATTTGGGTACAAAATCCAGTTGGCCACCTTACTAAAAGGGGAGATGGAAGATATCACTCAATGCAATTCATGCAAAACAAAGTAAACTGTAAATGCTGAGCCACATCTTACAAGAAAACTTCAAAGAATATAAGGAAAGTAATATATTTAACAGTAAATTGAAAACGGAAAATATCTCTAGTTGTTAAAATAAAAAACAAACATCTCTGAAGTCTAATTGAAACTAGAGGTAGAGGAATACACTCCCCGTAAGAAGAGTACTTTGGCCTTGAAGCATGGAAAATACACAAACACGCCGGCTGAAATTCAACTATTATTCAAAGAATAAATGGGCCAATGGGAGTGGCAAAGTCGAACTATTAGACAACTTGGTTATATAAGCCGATACTACATTATCGCAAAAGTTGATCCATGTAATTGACTCCACCTAGTGGGATAAGGCTTAGTTGTTGTTGTTGTTATATAAACTGATACTATGGGCATGTTTGAATAAACAACTTATAGCACAAGTTCTTAACAATATAAGTGCTGAATTATAAGCTTACGTAAGCTATTTCTATAATAAATGAAAAAATAATTTTAAATTGTTTTTGTATATATTAGAAACTGTTTTTATAAGATATCACAAGGTAAAATTATTTTATCATTTTATGAAAAAATATCACAAGTTGTTTTCATAAATTCGCCCAAACAGTTTCACAAAATATATTTCAGTAGATAAGTACACATATGCTAATCCAAACAGGTCCTATGTCATGAACTAACAATCCCCCTACACCAGAAGCCATTAGGCAGAACACAAGAATGCATGACTTGATTGGTTTTTATATTACATTGTAGCATCAGTAATAGTTTCACCTGTGTCAGTGTTGAGGCATTGGCAGCTTTTCCATTGTTCCGTTTGGGAGGTCCACTTATCCTAAGAGGTACTACATTTTATCCCAAAAATTCTCTAACGGGTCGGCCCACAGGTGGGCTAGAAGAGCCCATATTTCTGACTTGCACAGGGGATTTACTTTCCGTCTTATAATCTCCATCTGATTTTCTACGTTCTTCACGATGCCAATCATTGATAACTGGAGGACGACCGAGACTTCTCTTATAGTTACCAACTTGCCTACTTTCTTGATCATATCCAGGACTTCTTCCACCGGGACTAGACCTATCACTATAACAAGGTTCATGTGAGTCTTCATATGGAGGGCTTTTAGATCCTCCCTCCTCAACTCTCCTATTTTCATATGACCCATCTTTGTCACCACCCTAAACAACATGCAGCACAAGAGAGAAGACTGAAGTTAGAATTGGCTGACCAATTCAATCAATTCTAAAGCAAAGGCAATAACTCACAACTTGAAATTGAACCTATATCAAACTGTCAAATATTTGCTTAAAACAATAAATCCAAAAGGGTGAAATCTTACGTTTTTCACTCGTTTGTCAGAGGTACTATCTCCGGTGAATCTCCTATCCACATAAACATGCTTAATAAAGTCTCGGAGCCTGTTAACATTACTGGCACCAAATATGACAGAATAAATGAATAATGCACTCTGCAGCAATATATTAAAACGTACAAGCAAGTACTTACTCACTGTCAGGGAAAGAATGCTGTTGTCCATCCCATTCTTTAAAACAAACATTTCTTGCACGCTGCAAGTATTAGATAAAGCTGAAATAAACTTCAAGAAATATATGATATCATGCAGACTGAAAAAATAAACAGCACAAGTTTTCGCACAAAAAGGCATGGAAACCTGATTCCCTCCTTCTTGAAGTGCAGTAACTTCTTGTGAAGTAAAGTTAGCCATTGAAACTGATTTCACACGATGTGTAAGTTCACGGCTGTAAATTCCCACAAAAACCTCATGAGTTTTGAAGAATGGCCACCATGAACCATAAAAACATGTATTCAACTCAAAGCACATGGTTGAAATATAGGTATTACAATAAGCAGAACTGTTGTAAGGACTTACTGTATTCCGCTACAATTAGTGCAAACAAACGTCCAGAAATCTGTGCACACATATTGTGGTCCCTTCAAAAGTATAAAAATAAATAAATTAATGCAACGGATTTGTTATAGCGCCAAATGCAATAATTTCCTTCCTAGATTCTGAAGAATACAATGAAAATGCTCTAAAACCTGGTTAGAAGTTTTTAAACATATAAAAGTCTACAGATACAAATATGATTATCAGCAAAATTTCAAATTTGTCTCTTTAATAAGGACCCCATTTTTCCATGGAATATAGAGAACAATAGGTGTCGGGCACAGTATTTATACATTTTCAACTTTCAACCATTGCATAAAATGGAAAGTTTGTCGGTTTCGCATTGCATAAATGGGAGAAATCATATCATACCAATTCGACATTCTACAAAGTTAGCTAGTAGCAATTCATTTAAAGTAGATAAATGCACATGCTCGAAGAAGTAAAATCGAATTCAAATCTATTAACTACGAAAGAGTTTAAAGCTAATGACTTGGTTATTTTTTTGTTATATTTCGGATACTTAGTTAACCTTCAAACTAGCACTATATGACACTAACACATTTATCTCATTCAATTCGAGTATCACGGACAAGCTTGATAGAATGTAATTGTAAATTAATCTCTTACCTAATTCTCTAGTTTTTCTGAGCAATAGCTTCTAAATTTGATAGAATCGAATGTGCATCTTAGTAGACTGTTTCACTTATTATGTATTTGTGATTCCGTTGCAGGTAATTAATTTTTGTTATAGTTGGATTAATCTTGTAATTTCAGCTAATTGTAATAATTATGAAACTAAACTCATTCTTCCTAATTCAAGTATCAAGAATCACATTGCTCGATTTCTACTTCCTAATCTCTGATTCTCTAGTTTTCTCAGCAATATCTTGTACAATGCATGTTCTTACCAAACTGTTGCAGTTAATGCATGTTCGATTGGGTTCGAGCCTAAGAAGAGCTCGAATCGCGCGCTCGTGTTTCTCGTCTTCCCTTAACGGACTCGTCATCTCAACTTGAAACTCCAAACTCGAATTCAATCATTCACAGTCTATGAAGCTCACAATTCGATCGCGGTTCTGAAAAAAGAAAGAAAAAAAACGTTAGATTTTTACAGAACAATATCACCATTTTATGATAATGAAATAAATTTTTACAGAACAATATCTCAATACCCAAATCAGCAAGCATATTATATTTTTAAGTTGATACCTATTACCCCCCACAGTGACCAATCATAGGAAGAGAAATCATGAACTCAAACACTCATCTCTCAACTGCTCACATCAATAACCAGCTCATCTCTCACCATTCAGGCACACATCAATAACACAAGCCTTATCACTCAAATTTCACGAACCCTCACAACTGCAACTTAACCTCACAAACCCTCATTACAGCTACTCAAAATCACGAATATCCGTCAACACAAAGACATCATAACGCTCACAAACAACACAGAGAATCAACGGATAGCAGAAACTGAAAAAAGAAATATTACCGGATACAAATGAAGAGAGGGATGACGACGACGTAGGTGAGATGACAAAGGGTTGAGTTCGACGGAGAATGAGATTTGGTTGTTCTTTCTTTTCGGTGTTTCCTCCTTCTGTTTGAGTGTCGTTTGAGAAGTGAATCTGAATCTGAATCGATGGTGAATCCGATGGCTGAAGAATGGATCCGGGTGAAAACCGAAGGAAGGGATGACGGTGGTAAATCAATGACTAACGGCGGTGAATCAATGAAAACCGAAGGAAGCAGAGGAAGATTTGACGGCGGTGAATCAGTTGGGAGAATCAATGGCTAAGAAGGAAGCAGAGGAAGATAATGTTTTTGGGAGAATCAATGGTAGTGTTTTTGTTTTTGGCGGTGAGTGGATGTGGGAAACCCAATTTTTTGAAAATGTGTTTTGTTTTTTTTTTTTATCAATTAATTAATTAATTCATTATTATATATAACATAACGCTTTTTAATAAATGCTATTATATAGGTAGTCAAATAATAGTGTTTTATACAAAATGCTATCTTAAAGAAGTTTAATAATAGCGTTCTGGTACAAAGTGCTATCATAATTACATAGTCTGTATTATATAATAGCGCCCGATTAAAAAGTGCTATTCTAAATGTGTTTTTTCCATTTTAATAGCATTTTTTTTAAAAGTGCTATTAAATTAGGTGATACAAAAAATCATTTTTGGCGTAGTGAATCATGAATTTCAAATTTAAAGTATAATATAAACAATATAAATCATCAAATCAGCATTGAAGATTGAGAAAATTTTCAAAAATTAGAATAGTAAATCAGTGAAAATTAAATATTTGTCTTTGAAAAAAAATTTGAAAAAGGAAAAAAATTTAAAAGTTGCAGATCTCATTATCTATGGAAATAATTTCATGAATAAAAATTAATAATGAAAACTCTATAAAAATATCTAAATTCAGAAAAATATAATTTTTTAGACCTTCTTTGAATTTTTTGAAACCCTAAACTCCTGTTTGTGAGACTCCTGTAAAATACAACAAATTAACCTGCAGAAGAAACAAAATCATTTAGATAGAATTGTAAACACAACATACAAAAGAGGTAAATTAAAAAAATCTTAAAAGGTAAAATAATGATCTTAAGTAAACAATTATGATGGGGATTTTTAATTTATAAAATTGTAAATATAATTATGTAAATAAATTAAGAATGAATATATGCTTTCATTTATTTATTAATTTAGTATAATTTATTAAAATATAAATATATGAATTTTAAACTTATAATTATGTTTTGACACTAACCATTCAAAAAGAGTTATTAACTAAATTTATGATATAGCATTTAAAAGGAACACATTTTTCATACAAACTGTAAAAAATGATTAAATAAAAGAAGCCTAGTAACATGTTAAAAAGTGTAAATCAAGAAAGTCTTGACATTTATGTATTTAAAAATAACAACACGAATTTATCATAAAAATACGGATATTTGTAAAATTGAAATTATAATTTTTTGTTGTTATGTAAAAGAAAGTATAAATTGAAAACATGATATAGATATAAAACCAAAAATGGAGAGCAAATGAAACAGCTTGATTTGGCCGTAACTTAGCTTAGCCCAAAATTATGATCTCTATTATTGTAATTATTTAGATATAAGAGGAATGTAACTAACACGCCCAACTTAGACATGCCACTTCATATTTTTTTCATAATGTCAAAAATATATGTCATTTTTTTAATTAATAATTTAATTTAAAATGTTCTCTCATGCGTGAAAAATGCTGAAGTGGATGCAAAAAATCAGATATGTGTTTTTATTGATATATTCGATATTTTGTTCACCTCTTAAAATTAGATAGTGTTATTTTAGCATGTTGTGATTTTGTCGAGACATTTTGTAGGATTGTGATTGCACGATATTTTTGTGTGATCCATAATAATTTAAAATTTGTATAAATACGCTCCATATCTTGTTAACAAAAACACTTCGTAATGGTTCAATTTTTATATCTCACGTTTGTGTATTTCAACGGCGTGAGTTCTCCTATTGATTTAAGGCTCATAGAGAATACATCTCATGATGTTCTAAAATCCAAAATGTACAATCTCTTGCGCTACCCAGACAGACAAAAGAAGGGTAGTTAAGATGGCGTATTGTTCACCATCGAGTGATGATGAAAGAAAAATGAAGTTGAGCAACTATGAGTTGAAGACCGATGAAGATTTAAGAGTTATGTATAACACATGTAATTTCATCGATACGAAACAAAAGGTCCAATCGGGGTAGATGCGATAGTTGTGAGATCAGTTGATGATATTATCAAAATGTTGAAATATCCTGAATCATCTAATAATGTATAAGTTGTGTTCATGTTATTTTCATATTAAATAATGTTAAGCAATGTTCATATTAAGTTATGTTTATCCCGCAATAATGTAATGTTAATTTTCACTCTAATGCAATTTTAAGATAAAGTATTAATAATATACAAATAATTCAGTTCAAACTCAAAATAATGTTGCCAATAATAAATAATAAACAAATAAAATCTACAGTAGTCCACCATATAGAAAATGTGTGTTACCTACAATAATCTAACATAGACCTTACCATATGGGTACACCAAATACACGAGGTTATCTGAGAGAACTCCACACACAAGAAAGGGGATGAATCATAGGGGTTTGAAAAAAATTGGTTTAAAACAAAATTGTTTTCTAAATCAAAGTCAATTTTTTTAAGAAAATAATTGAATATGCAGTGGAAAATCAGAGTAAAGAAAATATGGGGAAAGTAAAGAAATAAGGGATGAGAGAACGACACATGGATTTTATGATATCCGGTCTAAAAGATGAAACTTACTCCTCTCACAAAGAATCGGTCTTTAGAGTTTCCAATAATGCTTATGAGATTTTAGAAGGTTAAGCTCACGAACCCCCTTATACAAGGAAAAATAAAGTTTTAGGTTTACTTCCAACCAAACAACAAATATTGAAATGAAGTGGTTACTCTTCACACCAAACAATGAACAAAACTTTGAGCGGTTAGTTTCTAATGTAAAACAGGATTTTGTAGGGAATTATCTCGAACCAATATGGGATTTTTGACCGTCTATCCTCCAAACCGAACCGAGATTTTACACCAGGCTAATCTCAAACTAACCGAGCTTTTACATCGGGTTGAGCTCAAGAATCGATAAGAAGATTGTTCACTGGTTATCTTCAAGAACCTAGAAATAGAGCTTTTCCTTAAGAGGCTAAACTCATGAACCAAACAGAGACTTAACACTAAATCCCCCAAAAGATATTTTAATGGATTTACCTTCAAACCCAAACAAACACTTACTAAGGAAGAATGATTCACTCAAGAGAAAACAGAATCTTTTGTGAATTTATAATATTACCTTTTTCAAAACAACTTCCTCACTAAAGATAAGAAACTTTCTCAAAGCTCTATGGCTAAATTTATGCGAGCGAAAGAGAATTTGTGTACCAAAATAAGTTACAATCCGCTCTCTTGAATATAATAAACCAATTTGTTGTGTGCTAGTGAGATATCTCAGGATATGTTTTACCGCACAAAGATAGTATTATTTTGGATATGCTTGAAAATGAGCACAAAGGCACACAAAAAACATGGTATTAGGATGAGATACAATACGAAAAAGGAGGGATCCAATCCTAGCTCGGTATTTTCCTTCCTGTACCAGTTTTCCATTCTCGTCCTTGTCTAGGTTGCAAGAGGTTGCCATTGAAATTGCTATAACTTTGGCTTGATTTATGAAGTGATCCTTCCTCATCTTAATGAATTTTAAGGCCTATGAAGTATCAAATCTCCCACATCATTGAAATTTCAAACTCGTTCTACATCATTTCAGAAAACTACTTACACAAGGATTTGTTAGTAGCACTGAAGATGATATCATCAACAAAAATTTGAACTAGTAAAATGTCATGATCTAGTTTCTTGATAAAGAGGGTTTTATAAAATTTTCATCTTTGACACTTGTTTTCAATTAAGAACTTTCTTAGACCATCGTACCATGCTCTAGGAGCTTGTTTTAGAACATATAAAGGTTTCTTAAGTTTGAAAACATGATCAGGAAAAGTCGAGTTGATAAAAACATTGAGGTTGATTTACAAACACTTCTGTAACCATTTAAGAACACAAATTTTACATGTATTTGAAATATTTTAAAACTTATGATGTAGGAAAAAGCTAATAACATCCTTGTGGCTTATAATCGAGCTACAAGGGCGTATGTTTCATAAAATTCTATGCCTTCCTATTGATTTTATCCCTTCGCAACAAGTCTTCCTTTTTTCTCAAAATGTTTCCATCTTTGTCCATCTTATTATGAAAGACCCAAAGGGTCCCACTAACTTGATTCATCGAAGCTTTGGGAACAAGTTCCTAAACATTATTTTGTTCAAATTGATTTAACTCCACTTGTATAACAAGAGACCAATGTTCATCAAAGATAGCCTCGTCAATTCCTTTTAACTCATATTCTGAAACAAA